GTCGTCTTTAGAAACGCAAATGAACATAGGCATGCTAAGTGGAGCCATATGAAAGCCCCGTAATAGTCTCTTTTCATGAAGTCATCACGCGGGGTTCAGCGTTGTTTGGTGTTTAAGCGCAAACCTTAAATGATGTAGACGGATTATTTGCTGCGTGCCTATGTCTGACAGTTGTTATCGACGAGTTGGATGAATTTGGCATAGTTCACGCTTTTGGTAGCTCCACAAAGTATAGGTAAAACTACATGTTTAGCTTGGATGTCATGACAATAAATTGGGCTGTGCACGCATACAGTCTCCATTGCCGTGATGCCTCGGCTTAGGCCACAGCGTGTCACATTTCGGCCGGTTCTCGAAACGATGATATTGGCTGCCTCCTGGTCCACTGCTAGCGCAGTTGAGGATCACATTGGATGGAAGTCGTTTAATGATTTGCAGACGACGCGTTTGCCTTCAACGCACAGGTGGTCCCATGCTTATAACTGTTCTGATTCTTGAAGTTTGACACGGATCCTATGAATCGCCCGAAAACGGGCTGACCCATGGTCGGCGCACGGCTGGGGGCGGCGGACTGAATTGATTGACCCACACTTTGGACAGGGCAATAATTCGAATCCACCTCCACTATCTCGTTTCGCTGCGCCACCTAGTCGTCAAGATCTGTACCTGTTTCATGCTTTCCAGCTTTTCATGATCTGAATATTTTTTGTTTCTCAAATTTAAGTGGTACCTTAAACCTAAGCCTTAAGGTACCCACAGCAATCAACATCTTAGACATGTATGCGACGCTCAAATATGTCGAGGTAAAACAAATTGAATATGTTTGCTTAACATATACAAACGCCCTGAAAGTGTGTGCGTGGTGTGACAAAGTAGAGCTCTGCCAGCCACCGCCCGACAGGTTCCATTTGGTCGTTTCACATACGAGCTGTGGCCAGCGTTTGACGCACGGTGAGGCCTTCACCGCAGAGCTTAGCGCGGCATGGCAGTGTTTGCCCCACCATTTTCTCCGTGAGAGTTCGTGCCGGTCGATTCGGTGCCTCTGCTGGCGCGGCCCGGTCTGGGGACGGAGGGGGCGGCGCCGCGCCGGTCGGCCGCCACCCGCAGCGTCCACGGAGGCCGGCTGGACCCTCGCCTAGTGCAGCGTCCGCTGATAGTGACGTGGTACTAGGACCGTCGGAGACATATGCGCCCCTCCCCGTCTCGCTGGCCCCGGAAACACATATATCATGACCAACGGACCTGGTTTGGGTCAAGGACGAAACCACATGTTCACGATTGTTGACGCCCAATATGCTTTGATGTTTCTTTTGATGATCTGGACCAAACAGTTACAGGAGACCAGACCCGCCGACCTCAGTGTTTTGTATACACTCCGTTTGGACGGTTGCAGTAAGATGCATGCTGTTTGATATTCCCTGCTGCGATGGCCCGTGGCTGATCTCGTAACCTTGGTGGTCGCTCCCATCGGGGGACCCAAGGGACAGCCCAAGCAGCTCGAGCTGAGTTTGAGCAGCTTGGCAGCTGGAATCCGCAGCCCAAGCGATCCCTCAGTCACATCTAGCCGGAGGGTCTCGGCCAGACGTGCTTTGTTAACACTAGTGAGCCGAGCTTTGTTATTACTACCACACCGCATCACTACGAGTGCAACCTGTCTTCTAATCCTGACGGTACCGTCCCAGCATCGGTTTCTTTCACATGCCTGTCGCCACGTGAGGGAAGGTGCGGGACATTCAGTTCCCCTCAACTCTGCAGCAGATCGGTCCAACAAGCTCGTCAAGACTGAAACATGGCTCTTGCATAAACAGAAGAACTCCACCTAGATACTCTTCGAAGGCTCTTTCACTGTCACCCTGAACAAGTAAGGTCATCCCAGTGCTCTTTCTCAAATGCTTTCCATTGGTACACGGGGGCTTACTGATGTTCCCATCGGATACGCCGCGGCGTGGAGTAGAGGAGGACAATCCTGAAAGTCACCAAAAACGTATTTAACTGAGCATTATGCGTAAGGGGGGATGTTCCCTAACAGTCTACGTTCAGCCCTTAAATATCTGGGGTGCACTGAAATATGAATGGATCTAAAATTAAACTGCGTCTGTTGACCGGCATAGGTCGGGATGCTTAAAGCCAGGCACTGCTCGGGGCCGTTGGAAAGTGACCGTTCCTCCTAGAGTGCATGACGTTGGTGTGTCCGAGTGGCACGGTGCCCAACGGAATGCTATGAACAGATGTTACTCGCGCAGGCTTGCCTAACCTGGTTATTTGCATAAAGTGGTCTAGTTTCGGTGCGTGAATGCAAGCATTATTTATGAAGCGCTTCGGATGGCCCACACGGGTGGCCTTGTTTCATGGGACTTGCTAAGAAACACCTGCGGTAATGTGCCCTGAACCCAACACCAAGTTTGAAGTGTTCCAGTTTATTCAATACATTTACGACGGCCTTTTTGTCGGAGGGAACAGCGAAAAGGCCTTCGTTATGCGACGCAATGTAACGAGTTAGGCTATATCCACCTAGCGTCAGGTCGACCCTCGCTGGACGTAGCCAGCTGACCTGGCCATGTCAGCTGATATAACCGTCTGTAAACTGTGGGCCTCACATGCTGAGCCCTTCTGAATTACGATCCTGACTTTTTCCTCCTAGAGCACCCAAGTACCGTTCGTCAGGAGCTAGGTAGACAAACCAGGTAGCTCACACCGACTTTAAGGTGATGTTACCGACTGATATCGTTTGCCAGAATTGCGTGTTTAAGCGTGCATCAAACCACACTCTTAAGTTATGCTTTAATCGAAGATTGTGCTCTGGAAAAGGCAGGTGTGTAACACCAACATTTTACAGGATATCGGGCGGCACTTAGCCCATGTCCGTGTGGAGCTTATGCGTGACGCGCAGGAAACGCGACAAAGCGAGCAAGCGCATTCCCCTATTGAAAAAGTGCATATAAGTCGCGCAATGCGAAGCGTAGTTTTGTTTCTGGGCACCATGGCGTTTTGTTCCTGCATAATGATCCTCCTGTGTCTGATTGGGCATACATAACATGTCTCTCCTTCAGGCACCATGTATGTCTGATTAGGCATGCATGGCATGTCTCTTCTTCAGGCACCTACGCTGTAAAGCCTCATAACGGCAGATTTTCTCTGACACGCTGGTCAAGTTTCCAAGCAATTGCTCGGGAACGAGTGCCGACATTCACATCTGTTGGACATGGCAGACACAAGTCAAGGCCTAGGAATAATGCCCACTGCCTGATCGAGGAGTCGTCGCTGACATGTTAGCTAGTGTCAGACGCCAACTGGTTACACGAGGGATATTCGGGGATTGCAATGCCCGAAACCACTTCGGATGTTCCTAAGGGCTCGAACTTAGTCATACATGTGCCTCGTCCCTGAGATCTCTTCCCGGACGCCAGATCCTGCTTCCTGGCCCCGGAACCAGGAAGAACCTCGGAACTACTTTTAATAAAGCTGGAGATCCAGCAAAACCAAGATCTAGCTCATAATTGTGCTGAGGAGTTAGCAAGAGCCAGGACCCAGCTTGGCAGAAGAGGAGTCCGGTAAGAGCTAAGATTCAGCTTGGAATGGGTACAGGGATCCAGCGGCAGCCGGGACCCAGCCTGGCAGAAGAGGAGTCCGGTAAGAGCTGGACTCAGGTTGGAATAGGTGCAGGGATCCAGCAGCAGCCGGGGCCTAGCGCGTAATTATACAGAAGGGGCCGGCACGAGCCCTGGTCCAGCCGAAAACAATGGCCAGAGACCCAGCGAGAACGCGGATGCACCCTTAATTAGGCCGTCGACTTAGCAACAAACGAAGTCCAGTATGCAGTCAAGGACTTTAGATGTAGTTCGGAACCAGGAGAACCTGGTACCAGTGAGAACTGATATGCTGCCTGACACATTGGATACGAACCAAGTATGTTGCATTTACATTTATGGAGTGAATGCTATAGAGGATTTGCTGATACTTTCTGTTATATGATATTTTATATGAAAGCATATCAGACAACATGCCTTCAATGGCAAATTGGCAAAAAAAGTTGACGAATGGTACGCATGCGGGGCTTACAAATGGCAATGTGGAACAGGAACCCGGATCTGGTATTTGATGAGAGAACCATTGAGAGCCAGAGGTCATGGTCCAGTGTTTGTGAGCAGCAGGTCTCAACCAGGAGTCAAACTCTTTTTCTTTTGTGAAGAAGCTAACACGAACCAGGAGTGAGGGCCGGATTTTTGTGGAAGAACCAATATGAACACGGAATCAGCGTTGGTGCTTGTGATGTGGAAAATGAAGGAACCAGCAATCAGGGTCTGGCGTTTGTAAAGGAACCAATAGGAGCCGGGAATATATATATATATATATATATATATATATATATATATATATATATATATATATATACGTAAGTATGTATGTATGTGTATATACGCATTGTTTGTAGAAGAAACCGTGAGCCGTGAGGTTCAGAAATAATGGTCCCGTGTTTGCAAAGCGACTGATAGGATCCAGGAACTCAGAAGCTGGTGTTCCTGAAAGCATCAACCGGAACTAGGATTAAGGGTTTGGTTCCATGGAGGGAAAGTGAACGCCATGTGCCAACACTGAAAACCAGGCACATATCCACTGCAAAATCATGCATTTGACATCCATGAAATGTTGCCTAAACATCGTTGATTTGAAAACTTATCAACATAGGCCATACTCAAAATTCGCATCGGATTGCGGCCGGGGCATGACTGTCCCATGTGCGTACAATCAGCTTTGAAACAAAGGTGGAAGTGATTCGGTCGGTGCTGTCTCATCAATGACATTTTGACCCTACATTCCCTGTCGCGGTTTATTACACGCCACCTCACATGGCGACCGATACAGATGGCTTGCGACGTCAGCGACCGCTGCAGTCACATGTGGCGTTCTGAAGACAGACTGTCTCCTTCTTAACGTCTTAACGTCACGTCTAAATATTCGCATTATCCAAGCCTCCCAGTTGTCGGAACAAGCTGGCTTACCTATGCACGACGTGGAGTGGCGGCCATGAGAGCGGTCTCCTCAGCCGACGCTGCACGGTCCGGAGCGACTCAGACGGGCGGGGACGAGGCTCCCCGCGGAGGGGACACTGCGAACTCCGGCCGCGATCACAGCCGGCGGCGTAGCGGGCAGGCGTCGCCGCCTCCGCCTGCGCCGGTCACCTGTCACGGCCGGCACCTGACCGGTCGCCGCTGACCGCCCCTCGCCACCGCCGGTCCTGGCGCACCGTCGCCGCCTGCGTCGCCGCCGCCGGCGTCTGGAGCCAGCACCTGACCGAATGCTGCTGATCGCACCGGCCGCCACCGGTCCTGGCGCACCGTCTCTGCCGCCGCCGCCGCCGCCGCCGCCGCCGCTCGCCGACGTCTGGAGCCGGCAGCGCGCCGCGGCGTATTGACCGCACGCCGGCCGGCCCCCGCAGCAGCGCGGGCCGGCCGCGTGCCGCCGGTCCTCCACCGACCGACGCTCCTGTCACGTCGGCCACGCGCCGCCGCTCGGGCCGTGGCGACTGTGTGCTCTGGGTTTGAGGCTGGTAGTGCTTGATCAGACGGGCGGGTATGTCTGATGGCGAGGTTGCGGGACATACCAACGGCCGTTTATCACGAAATGGTTCGCAATTCCAAGTGCCCCTCGACTGGCGGCCATTTCATCATCTTATGCATTTTGCAGTCTTGTACGCGAGGCTATAAATATGCTGCAAACTTGATACGAGCAAAACAGGATTTTCGCCCTCGGTTTTCGGGCTGATAAACTTTTGAGCTAAAAGTGAAGGGCATCCATTACACAGGTATCCACCAGCTTTAGGACGTTATCGAGCAATCATCAATTTATCTACATTAGGAGAGAACGCAAAGCTTCAAGCCGGTGTTCGCTATTACTCGTGACCATGGTCTAATCAAATCACCGGCAGTGATAGCTACCGCGCACAGCCAACAGTCTTCGCGGCGCGCGGTCGGCTGCTTCATCCCAATAACCAGCAGACCAGCTGAGAGCTGTTCGTCTAGGTTGACTCACAACGCTGTGTTCCGTTGCTGGGGCTTGAGCGCTCGGCTCAGCTGGCTCCCACGGGAGATGAAAGAGCTGTACAGGCACCCGCACATTTTGGTCAGATCTGCTCAAGCATAGTTTTGGGAATGGAAAGGTACTGTGGGTGCCTTGGCATCCCTCTTCGCAGCAAGGCCAAATATTTACTCCGTGACAACAAATGGTCGTTTTCAAAATTGGTTTTAGCATCCCGCCCCCCCTCTTTCGGAGGCGTTTCTTCGCCGATGAGCTTTAAAATACTACTGCGATAGTGTCTTGGGCTCAGTGACACAATCAGTACCTGAGACTTTATGTAATCCCCGTCTCTCACCCTGGCAGGAAGAGCGGGCACTGCGGAAACTGCTGCGGCTCATTATGTGCCAGTTTAGAGAGGTTGTGCATGGTCATCATGACAGTACGAGGCTGCTGATCACCCGAAGTCCTTACTTCAAAGAGCCAGAGACGAAGCCATCAACATTCAGCGCCCACCGACATGGATAAAAGCCTATTGGTGATGTGCCTGGAGCTGGCGGTTTGTTCGGCGATTTATTCAGCGACGAGTTCCGATTGTTCCGAAAAGAGGTTTCAAAGTCAATCACGGCACGAGAACAGCAAAAATGGCATTTATTTCGTAATATCATGAGACCTTCAAGGTTGCAAGCTAGGTCAAAATATGGGAGCTCGATATCATCAAAAGGTTTCCAGCCGAATCAAAACCTGCAAACATCAAAAGATTCAAAAGCGCAAAAACTAGCGTCCGTCAAAAACTCCTGACCTCTGAACTTCATCCTTTAAGATCAAATTCAGGCTCAAGAGACGAGGAACTCCAATCACTAGCAAATAACCGGCAACTCCTAAACTTGTAAGCATCAAAATATTTACAAGCACAAGAACTTGTGATATGGAATTCCCCGTCCTTTGAGCTCACTTTGATCTTGAAAGGTAACCTTAAAAGGTCAGGACTTTTTGACGGATGCTTGTTCTTTCTTTGTTGCATATTCTGGTGCTGGCAAGTTTGAAATAGGACGGCAATTTTTTGGTGAGCTCCCCGTCTATTGAGCCTGAATCTCACGTTGAAGGATAACCTTCAGAGGCCAAGACTTTTTGACGGGCGCTAGTTATTGCGCTTGTGAATATTTTGATGCTTGCAAGATCCCGTCCTTTTACCCAGCTTTTGATCCCGTAGGTCGCTTGGCATTGCAGAATGAATGTCATTTTCGATGTTCTCGTGCCATAACTGTCCTTGAGACTTTTTCAGAGAAAATGGAAGGCTTCCCTGAGTAAACCGCTGAATAAATCGCTAACTTCACGAACACGAAATTGTGTGCAGATTGGGCACGCTGGAATGTTCCGCCTCTAGAGTGATGGACAGAATAGTCCGCCTCCCGCTGCTCCTTCCAGCCGCTGGCTTAACGGAGCACAGTCGCAAACACGCAACGTGTGCAGTCTTTTAAGTGCAGTTGCGAGGTACATTAACTATTTATAATAGCACTTGTATTGCCTTATTCCTCGTTGGTAGTTAAAATGTTAAAAAATTATGTTGCAATAAGATTGTGGGAATTCCACTCATCGATCTGCTCGGCGACGTGATGTACTAGAGACTTTTCTATCAAGGGCCGAGGCTGAAACGTCGGCACACATAACAGTGAGTGTTTTAACAACACATAAGACACTGTGTTCTTTTGTTCTGTTTTGTTCTTAGCCATGCTCGCGTTTAACCTAATGCAGAACGTCGTACCCCACCGGGCCCGTGAAGTTGGATAATTCTTTAGCGATCTATTCAGCGATTTATTAGGTATGAGAGCACCAAATCGCTGGTGTTTAAATACCGCAAAAGTCGTATGTGTTTAAACATCACGTGAACTGCAACGGCAAAGTCCAGTTCAAATGAAGGACAAACCGGCATTAGTCTGAAGTTACCGGGTGTCAGGTCCTTAAGCATGGTGATCTTTGCCAATGAATAAATTACCTCCCATCGAAAAATTAGGCCCTTATGGTCAGCTTCCGAGAAAAATTCCACGGTTATCGGATGTACAGGTTATGTGAACCTGGCAACCAGTGACGTATTCGCGGGGACTAGATTTCCTACGGGATGCGGTGTTTTATCGGCTAGATTGCTAGGCCGGTGCAGCTTTGCTCAATATTACGGCCTCCTATGAAAAATTAATGTAATACAATCCAAAAACTTATTGTGTGCTATAAGATCTTGACAGGTTTTGTTTTTTAAATGTATAACAAAGGTAAACCGGAGCAATTTAGTACATACTTGTATACCAAATATTTCAGTAGTACTAAAATTGATTTCATGCAGCCCAGCATGGGTTCTCCGTAAGCGGTCTTGTATCACCCAGCTGTTAAAGGTCATGGAGGATTGGAGGACCGTGGTAGAGGCTGGAGAGCCGGTGGACGTCGCGTACCTGAACTTCAGCAAAGCCTTTGATTTCGTGCCTCATAATCGTATGCTCTCCAAGCTTCATGCTTACGGTGTGAGAGGTAATTTTCTACGCTGAATCAGGTATTTGCTTACCCACCAGATGCAGAGAGTGCGGGTCCAGGGCTCGAAGTCGGACTGGACCGACGTCGTCAGCGGCATCCCGCAAGGATCAGTACTTGGACCAACGCTGTTCATAATTTCCGTGAACGATCGGCCAGAACAAGTGCGAAACGTGGTCAAGATGTTTGCAGATCACACCAAGGTCTACTGCCGTGTCCCGAGGCCCCTGACTAGCTCATCTCTGCAGGCTGACCTCGACGCCCTGGCCAAGTGGTCAAAGGAGTGGCTGCTTCCCTTCAGTGCAGCGAAGTGCAAAATAATGCACATCGGGAACTGCAACCCGAGGCTGAGCTACTGCTTGAACGGCGCTGAAATCGCGGCCGAGTCCACCGAGAAGGACCTTGGGATCTTCGTGGATTACCGGCTCCAGTTCCACGTGCAGACGGCGGAAGCGATCTCCAAGGCCAACAAGATGCTGGCAGTCGTGAGGCGGTCTTTTGCCAACATCGATACTCCCACGTTGCCATTGCTCTGTAAGATCTTAGTACGTCCGTACTTAGAGTATGCCAACGTCATCTGGGGCTCTTTCTGCAAACTGGACCAGAAGCGGCTGGAACGGGTTCAGCGACGAGCTACCCGGCTCGTCTATGAAGTGAGGCGCCAGCCATACCATGAGAGGCTCAGACTCCTTCAGCTGCCCTCGCTGTACTATCGTCGTCGTAGGGGAGACATGGTAACAGTGTACCAGCTGTTTCACGGAAGTATGTCGCTGTCGGAAGAGGAGTTCCTGACAAGGCACAACTCGGAGGTGGCGAGAGGACACCAATGGAAGGTCAGAAAATTTCGAGCTAGGACTCTCGTCCGTCGTAACTCCTTCAGCACGCGGGTTGTCAACGATTGGAACGCTCTTCCACACCTGGTCGTGTCGTCGACCTCAGTTGAACAGTTCAAGTTTAGGCTTGATATGCACTGGGCGGATATCATGTACGACGTCTCACACTCAATTTTCCCATAATTGGAGACTGTTTGGTTACCGGACCGGGAGCCTGACGAGCCCGGACCTACAGGCCTAGTGGCCTTTTATAATTCCCGATCACCATAAGGCAAGGTAAGACAAGACGCGCAGTGCGGTATGGTTTCGCGCCGCCGACATAAAGCGGCTGCTCAGAACCTTAAGAGCTAGGGTTCTTCGAAGCACTTAATTACATGTGGGTTCTGAACGCGATTTGCAGTTTCAACTACTTCATCCCGCAAAGGACCCTGCGCGCAAGCCCGATGTGAACAACGCAAAAGGAAACACTTCCAAGTCAGGGCGACGGTTGAGCTCTGAATTGGCGTTCAGACCTGTGAATGGCATACCCTGCTCAGTCGCAAAGACGCCAAAAATATTGACAAGCGCCAATTTCAAGTACGGGTAATAATGCCAAATAAGTAGGGTCAAGTGGTAATGGATGAACAATACGTTGGCGGAAACTTGGCGCTAGCTAATACTTTTAGCCTCAAAACTACACGTGTCGAGCTGGCAGCACATCTATCAAACCATCGATCGATATTTCGGGTCGCCACAATTTAGCTAACAATTGATAGGCTGATAAAAACTTGGCCAA